ATCTCAAGATAAGCACCCACCTTTCTCTCCTTTGAATTGCTGCCAACAACTAAAGTGCCAAATGAACTATAAAAAGCCAAGCGGAGTACAAAGTCCACACAGAGCTTCCGGGTTTAATCTGAACAGAGTGAACAAAGTTGCTTCCTGCAAAGGTTCCTGTCCTTTTGCTCCTCCTTTATGTCTTATAGGGGAGGCAATCATCTCCAAGCCTTACTCCTGAGTCGCCCCTTTTGTCTTACCTGTTCTTGCCTTCTGGCAGCTCTGCGCACACACGCACGCATGCACTGAGAACAGGCTCCCCTTGTTCCTTTGCCTCGCTGCTGTCAGGTTCTGGAGACTCCGGAGTCAACACATAACTCCCAGATGGCCCTGGCCCCATCTCTGTATCGGATGCAGGACCCTCGTCTGAGTCCTCCCCAGACTCTCGGACTGGCTCATGTTCCTCCCCACTGTCCAACTCTGCTGTCGTCTCCGCAGGCTGCCAGCAGACCACAACACTGAGTTCAAAGGCGTGCAAATGCGAGTAGATAAATAGGTACCACTCCAGTGGGAAGCGTTCCATGCACCTTGGCATATGGTCATGCCAGCTACATGTTCACAAAAGTATCTTCAGACAGTGCTGAAGTACCCTTGGCTAGGAAATGGGAATGAGCATCACCTGTTAGACTAAACAGAAAAAAAACCCTTTTTTAAAAAACTCACCTGGACTTTAATAGCATTAGGTGGAGACCAGCTCCACCAAGGAGACAATGGCCTAAGCATTGCTTTAAGCATCTTCATCCCTACTACTCCCCAAATGCACCCAATTGAGAATAGCATTTTTCAAGCTTTTAGATGGCAACGCAATGCCTATTACATCTAGGAGCAAGTTCGATTCAGTAAGCCTTTTTTTTTTCTCAGCCGACATATATAGAATTAAACTGTTAAAACATTACAGAAGTGACAGAAGGCCTGCTGTACGTGTTTCAAAACTATTCCTAACTGAAAATGTTTCCCTTCATGGCTCATTTATTAGGACATTGTGAGCACCAAACAGATGATACCACAATGCAGGCACTTTAATGATATTAAGGTCTCCATGCACAGTCTATATTTTTCATGTTTCCACTTGTAGCATAAGTACCCTGTTTCCAGGAAAATACGACCTACCCTGAAAGTAAGTCCTAGCTTGATTTTTACATGTGTGCCCAATATAAGCCCTACCCCCCCCCCCAAAAAATAAGCCCTAATTAAGATCCCGCCCACTCCAGAGTGCACAGGTAAAAATTAAGCTAGGGTGGGAATGCGGGTGGTGGAGCTGCCTTACTACTTACCTTTGGACAGTTGTAGCCGGGCCTCGCACACCCCGACAACTGCCTTGCCAGCCCATTTCTTCTGCAGCCAGCAAAGCTGGCAAGGCTTTCCTAAAGGCCCCTGTAGCTGATAACAAAGCTCTGGATCGATCCAGAGCTCTTTTATCGGCTGCAGAGGCCTTCAGGCTGGCCACAGAACAAGAAGTTCCTGAGCGAAAAGGAGGCTGGGGGCGATGTGCACAAGTGAGGTTAGTCAGCAGATGACATCCCCCGAAAATAAGACCTGGTGCCCTTTTTTGTGGCAAAAAAATATATAAGACAGTGTCTTATTTTGGGGAAAACAAGGGTAGCACTAGTTTCTACACTCTAGAAACCTTTTGGGTTTATTCTCACATTGCGTCCAAATGTCTCAAGTAGTCTCTTAAAAACCCTGCGATTAAAAAAAGGCAGCACCAAACCCCAGAATACAGGCAGTCCCCAACTTACAACAGTTCATTTAGCGACCGTTTAAAGTTATGCCACTGAAAAAAGTGACTTATGATCATTTTTCAGTGGCAACCAGGAGTGGGATTCAGCCAGTTCGGGCCAGTTCAGATGAACCGGATGTTAAATTTACATTGGGTTCGCCAAACAGGTAGTTGAACCGACTGGCTGGCCCTGCCCACCTTGCCCCACCCCTCCCAAGAGTCTCTACGTGGCCCGTTTTGGATGCAGGTAAGTGCAGGGTTCGCACAGAGGCTCTGGGAGGGTGAAAAATGGCTCTCCTGGATGTTCCAGAAGTCCAGAAACAGCCTGTTTCCAGCTTCCGGAGGGCCTTCCCAGAGGCCCGAGGGAAGCCTCCGGATTCTGGTGAAGGTGAAAAATGGCCCTCACGGAAGTTCTGGTAGGCCACGCCCACCCAGCAACCAGGCAGAGAAACGGTTGTTGGGATTTTTGAATCCCACCCCTGGAGACAACCTTTGTAGAATCCCCATAATCACATGATCAAAATACAGATGCTTGGCAACTGATTCATACTTAGGACCATTATTTTGCCCCCAAAGTCATGTGATTCCCCTTTTGTGACCTTTGGACTAGTAAAGCCAGATTCACTTAACAACCACGTGGCTAGCTTAACAACTGCAATGATTCGTTTAACAAATGTTGCAAGAAAGGTTGTAAAATAAGACAAAGTTCACTTAACAAATGTCTCATTTAACAACCAACATTTCAGGCTCTGTTGTGGTCGTAAGTTGAGGACAACCTGTGTCAACTATCTTGGCCTAATGATTACTTCATTAGATTTTTTTCCCCTCTCCTTTAAATGTCCTCGACTTTACAGAGTCAGCCTCTTGCCCCCAACATTCTGGGTCTCCATTTTACCGACCTCGGAAGGATGTAAGGCTGAGTCAACCTTAAGCCGGTCAGGATTGAACTCCTGACAGTGGGCAGAGTAGGCCTGTAATACTGCATTCAAGGGAGGGAGGGAGAGGGAGGGAGGGAGGGAAGGAAGGAAGGAAGGAAGGAAGGAAGGAAGGAAGGAAGGAAGGAAGGAAGGAAGGAAGGAAGGAAGGACTAGCAATAGCACTTAGACTTATATACCGCTTCATACTGCCTTACTGCCCTCTCTGAGTGGTTACAGAGTCAGCATATTTCCATAATGTGGAAAATTAATAGCAATAGCAAAAGCAATAGCGCTTAGACTTACGCACCACTTCACAGTGCTTTACAGCCCTTTCTAAGCAGTTCAGAGCCAGCAATCGGGGTCCTCATTTTACCAACCTTGGAAGGATGGAAGGCTGAGTCACCTTTGAACCAGTCAAGATTGAACTCCTGACAGTCAGCTGAATTAGCCTGCAATAGCAATAGCACTTAGACTTATATACCACTTCACACTGTTTTTACAGCCCTCTCTAACTGGTTTACAGAGTCAGCCTCTTTCCCCCAACAATCTGGGTCCTCGTTTTACCAACCTCGGAAGGATGGAAGACTGAGTCAACCTTGAGCTGCTCAGAATTGAACTCCTGGAGTTAGCAATGAGCATGTTGCAGGTCCCATCCTCTAAGGAGATACATCTGGCAGGACCCAGAAGAAGGGCCTTCTCCATGGTGGCTCCCTCCCTCTGGAACATCATTCCTCTGGAAATTAGGCCAGCCCCCACTCTAACACTCTTTCAGAAGGCCCTGAAGCAGGGCTGGGCTTCCAAAATTTTAGCAAACGGTTTTCTGCCCGGTTGCTGGATGGGCGTGGACTAGTCAGCCTCCTGCACCACTGGGTGGCATGTTTTTTTCCTTCCCCGGGCTCTGGAGGCTTTCCTTGAGCCTCCAGGAGGGTGAAAATTGCCTCCCCGAGCTCCAGAGGCTTTCTGGAGGCCAGAAATGGGCCCATTTCCAGCCTTCCTGAACTTCTGGGAGCCCCGTTTTTCACCCTTCCTGAGCCTCCGCGTGCACCCTGCACTTACCTGCATCCAAAACTGGCCACGTGGGGATTCCTGGGAGGGGCGGGGCAGGATGAGCAGGGCCAGCCAGGAGTGGGATTTGGGGGTTCTCCGAACTGCACACAATTCTAGTTAGGGGGCTTTCCTGAACCCCTGCGAACCCCCAGCAGCCCACCCCTGCCCTGAAGACATAGTTCTTCCAGTGTGCCTGGGGAACCCAGAGTGAGATGGAGTCCATTAAATCACTGGGATGAGGGTGGGGGGGGTTATTATTTTATTATTTTTACTCTTATTTCTTTTATATTATGCTTTTATGTCCTGGTACTTTTATATTGTGCTTTTACGGCTTTGAGTCGCCGTGTGCAAATAGGCAGCAATATAAATTACATTATAAATATAAATTTTGCAAATAAATAAATAAGTGATCATAATTCCAGGCTCAGTTATGGTCGCACGTCAAGGACTTTCTGGAACATGTTTATAATCCACGTGAGCTAAAAATGATGTGGAATCACACAGTATCGCTTCATTTCTTTAAATAAACCTGTTTTTTTCTTTTTCTTTTCTTTCATTCCCCCCTCCCCTCTGTGTGAGGGCTTACGTCTAAGATTATTCAGGCTGGATCTGTAGGCACAAAAGAAAATGTGAACAATTAAATAGCTGCTATTTTAAAGGCTCAGTATTATGGCAACCCAAACAACAAAATATGAAATATTTTAAAAATAGCACTGTGGATACATAACTAGTGCTCGCTGTCACAAGGCCTAGTTAGATA